ACCCAAGTCTTTGCTTCTGTCTCTGTCAGAACCCAAGTCTTTGCTTCTGTCTCTGTCGGAACCCAAGTCTTTGCTTCTGTCTCTGTCAGAACCCAAGTCTTTGCTTCTGTCTCTGTCGGAACCCAAGTCTTTGCTTCTGTCTCTGTCAGAACCTAAGTCTTTGCCTCTGTCAGAAGCAAAATGTCTGTCTCGCTCTCTATCCTGACCTGAGCTTCTGTCCTGCTCACGGTTTGAGCCATAGCGTCTTTCTCCTGCACTGCCTGGTCTTTCTCTGGAGACAGCCCTTTCGGCAGATGCTGATCGCTCCTTCCTGCCAGCTGGCTCTAATGAACTCCTGACTCTGTCTCCTTCAGGTGCAGCAGCTGACCGATCAGAGGTAGAGGTTGTCTTGTCAGGACCTGTCCTGTCAGAGGGGGCTCTCTCAATACTGCCTCTTCGCCCCAGATCTCTATTCAACTTGATTTTCCTCAGTGGCTTCTGCAGACAAAAACAAACAAACAAACAAACAAACAAACACGATAAAGACACGAAATAGCATTTTCACTGAAACAAGTTTTAAAGGTTTGACAACCATGTGACAACTTCTTATTATAGAACGAGACTAACCTGAATGTCCATTGAAGGTCTAATGGATCCTCGATTCATATCTCCACGGCCCAGCTCATGAATACTTGGCAAAGAGAGAAGACTAGGCCTGTCCCCAGGGTGTGGAAACCTGTGGAGTGGTAGTGGGAGTGGGAGTGGGAGTGGATGGGGGTGCAGGTAAAAGGGGGCATCCCCTCCAGGTCCATCCATTCTCCTAAATTTTTCAGGAGGGGGTCCCAGTAGAGAGCGACCCTCCTCACCCATCCTCCTCCAATTGTCCATTGGGGATGGCGGTCGAGGAGGCATCAGGGGTCTGCTGGGATGGAGCAGGTGACCATCACCTTTTGAGAAATCTCTTCTACCCTGTAACTCGTGGCTAGATCGAGGGCCGTCGTGAAGAGAATGATGAGGTAGAGGCAGATTGTGGGAGGAAGCTGGTGGAGTTTTCACCAAGGCGGGCCGCACAGTGGAGCTTTTGCTCTTCTCCTTCTTAGGTGTAGTTAAGTTAGAAGCATCCTCTGGTTTGGTTTTAATAGTCTTTAATGGTTTAGTAACAGAAGAGGGAATTGAGGCATCTTTCTTTTTGGTCAACACAGCTTCGCCAGTCTTTTTCTTCAACTTCACAGCCTCAGTCTTCACTTTAGCTTTCACCTTTTGACCCTTTTCATTCTTTGTTTTATCCAACTGAGCCTTAGATGTCAATTTGGTTGTGGGTTTACCAGCTGCACCTTTAGAAGCTGGAGCTTTAAGAGCTGCAGTGGCCCCTGAAGGCCTTGAAGAGAGAGGGGATGTTTTATTTTGTGATGCTTCATTCACTGGTTCATCCCTAACAGGAGTGGCATCGCCTATTTCCATGGATCGTTGTGATGGTTCAGGTTCCTCTCCCGGCTTCTTCTTTTTGATTTTCTTTGACTTCAAGATCTTAGAGCTGGTCTTCGTACCTGATGCAGCAGAAGATGGGGGATGGTGAGRTGGACCAACTCGCTCGTCTTTCCCTCGTCTTCCTTTGCCCTGGGGCGAATAATCTCTGGATGATGTCGACATTTTGTCCCGTTCCCTGTCTCTACTACCATGACCTCTGTGATGCAGGGCAGGATGTTTGTTGTCGTAGTCTTTGTAATACTTGTTGTACCAGTCTGTGTACTCCTTCTCCCACTGTCGATATCGGTCTCTGTCCCAGCGCTCATGGCCTCCAGGACTGGCTCCCTTTACGTCATACGGCAGCAATTCCCGAGGAGGTGGCTTTCGTCCACCAGGGCTACGGCTTTGATAGCCGCCAGGAGACCGTGACCTCGACCTATAGGGCCTGGCACCTTCTGCTCCATCCCAACCCCCACCACGGTAGGAAAGAGGCGACCGTGGTGAGCCTGAGCGTCGGTAACCATATGACCTTGAACGAGAGCGGGACCTTGTCCGTGAACGTGCAAAGCTGCGTCCATTACGTCTAGAATAAGGTGAGCGGGGGTAAGATCGGCCATGAGACCGTGAACGGGATCGACCAGGAGAAAAAGAGTAAGACCTGGATCGTAATCTAGACCTGGATCTTGACCTAGATCGTGAATAAGGTGAGCGGCTTATCGAGCGGCTGAATGGAGAGCGGCTGTACGATCGAGGCCTAAAAAACAGCAACAAAAAAAGTTTCAAGATTAAAAAGAATTCAAACAACACAATAAATATAACAAACACCAACTAACCGTAACTGTTTAGGCCAGGGCTATTCAACTAAAGTGCTCCAGGGGCCTCAACCCAGGCACAGGGGCCGAACATCCAGTAATTAAAGTCATTATGTAAATAAACCAAGTATTACAAAGACATGTTACCTTTGAAATAGTTTATTTTGCTGCATTTAATCATGAATACAGCATACAGAACACTTTGTAATAAGAGATAAACAACAAAAACAACCACACATTCAGCCYCTTATTTACCACAAAACATATTTTGACATCTCTGATTTACCAACTTTTAAACCAATTTTATTTTCATTTTCATAGTTTTATCTTCAACTGCTTGTAGTTTAACTGTGTTGAGTAGGGATGGGTACCGAATACTTTGGGTACTTTTTAAAGTACCGACCGAATTCTGTCAGTACTACAGAGTATCTATTCACGTAACATCAAACGGTACCATGTTTCGGTACCTAAACGCATCATTGCGACCGTATTGGTGTAAGAGTGGGGGATTTTCCATGCTTGTCCTGAACGCAGCATCGCGCAAGAGCGTAATGACGTCAGAAGCCACTAGTTCAGTAGAGTTCGGCGTAGCTTGAAAGCCTTGCAGCTCCTGGAGTGAAACTCACCGAACAGAGCGCCACTGAATCATCTGGTGGATTAATTATCTGGTGAGCACGACGTTCGCTTGCTCAAAGTAAATAAAGCACCACCACTTTCTTTATTTCATCCATCATTAAACAGAGACCGGCAGAGGAAAACAACAGAGGTGGATCCGGACAGTCACGACAATTATTTAACTCCATCCTCTTTTGCTTATTTGATTTAAACTTATTTGCCTTCTGGACCTCCATCACACAACTTTTCTAGCGGAGAAATGACATCAATAGAAACATGTGGAGCTGGATTTTAATTTGTGTAATAAGACAAAACAGTCTTGTTGTTTTCAAGAGTTTTCAGTTTAAAGAAATTTGCTTAACAACTGATGTTACAATTCATAGAGTTGGATGTTGTCTTGATATTTGTTAAATTTTATATATTGAGAAATATGTAAAAAAAAAAAAGTTTATTATTAGAAAAAAACAACGCACACAAAGTACCAAAAATTGGTACTGTTAAGTACCGGTACCGATTCCCAGGTACCGGATATTGGTACCGAGTCGATTCAAATGTCAAAGGTACCCATTCCTAGTCTTGCGAGTGCATAGAAATGGTTTTGACCAGCATCTAGACAAAATTCTGACATTTCTGTAGATACCAAACATGTCTATGTTTAACTAAAATAGCTTGAGTAATTAAAGTAGAAAACCGGGGGTTTGGTCTTAAGAAATGAATTAACCAAATGGCGGGCTGAACTTTGGTCACTCGCGGGCCTGATGTGGTCCGTGGGCCGCTAGTTGAATAGTCCTGGTTTATTATCTGAACTTTATTTAAATTATGTTTTGGAGAACATGTGATGTATGCACAGCTTCAACCAAAAGCCAAGCCAAACTTCATCGACTAATAGTTTGTACAACAGCCTGTCAGAACTGAACAAACAGCTGATACCTAATAAAACTGATACATTTTTTAAATCAAAATACCTGGAATAGGACCGTCTCCTTCTTTTTGATGCATTTCTGTATTTCATAAGTTCTTCATGGAAGTCTTTAGTGAATTCATCCAGTTTGGATGTAACTCTGAAAAGAAAATCAAAACTGTCAGTTAAATATTTTCTATTCTGCTGAATACGTTTATAACATCAAACCCAAAGTAAAATTAAATGAAACAGTGTAGCTGTTTAAAGACACTCACTTGTCCTGTCGATGGTGCCTCTGTCTGTAGAAATCCTCTTTAGATAGAGGGGGTTGCATTAAAGATGGTGGTAACTGAAGAAGAGCAGGAGGGGCACTGGGAGCAACCCAGGGAGGGTTGAGTCCTGGTGGTACAGGGGCATAGACCGGCTGTGGCTGGAAACTGATGGCAGGTGGGGGGATAAGGCCAGGCCCAGCGTTGTACGTAGGAGGGTAGGGCTGGGGTGGGGCCGGATACAGGGGAGCTGGATAAACTTGAGGAGCGGGTGCAGGAGGTAACGCTGTCTGTAGGTGACTAGAGGGTTGCTCCCCTCTACTTCTGTACCTGGTAAGAAAAAGAGGAAGAATCATGAGAACGAGATTTTACAAAGGAAAAATTAGACGAGAACAAGTTTGTGGATGAGTTTTACCAGTGTCTGTTTCCTCCTCTATGGGGCTGGCTGGGCCTCGGTTGGTGACCTAATATAGCAGAGATAAAATTATCATTTTATTTCTTCATCTCTCATTTACATTTAAACCACACATCATTTAGAAAATAAAGCTTCTAACCTGATGAATGACTTGGCCTTGGAAGTGGTAGGTGACTAATAACAGGTAAACTGTAACTCTGCAGAAAAAATAATAATAATAAAGTTTACAATATTTTTTAAAAGGCTGCAGGTTATGATATCGTTTATTTTCTGTAAATTAGGTTAGGTATTTAAAATTACAATTTAAAAACCCTGGCCTACAAGATTGTGGACCCACCTGTGAAGTACTTTTTGATGTTCCTGCAGATTCTTGAGTCACAGCTGGCTCTAGATCAGCCTCTCTGAAAGAAAAGGGTGCATATTAAGAATCAAAAAAGCTGCTATGGCAGGCCAATTTGACATTTATTCAAAGCGCGCTCCTCTCTGTTGTTCCATTTGTAGGTCACTAAAATACAGAGGTTTGCAAAAGTATTCATACCCCTTGAACTTTTCCATATTTTGTCACATTACAACCACAAACATAAATATATTTCACTGGAATTTAATGTGAAAGAC